CCAGTTATATTTAAGCAATAGAGCACTTCTTTCCATGGTTCCATAGTCTCATCTAAACATGATGGGGGTTCAGAGAATTTGAGACAGTAATGCAAACCCGAGATGCAGTCAAGTGTTTGCATGACTTTCGCGAAATCTCCTAACCCCTGAGTATTTAGATGAGGCTATTGTAAACACAGGAAAAGTACTCTATGACTTTTATGAAATATTTCTTAAAAATACACGCGAATCTAAAACCTCACAACCATCTCAACCAATGAGGGCCAGTGTAGTAATAATATCAGTTATTTTATCACTCACCCTCTTCAACCCTTTGTGAGTGGAACATAAGGCCACAGTTATTTTATAAATACCCATATTAATGTGCTAAGAATCCCTTGTTAATTTCAGACAATCGATGGGCAATTTCGACTTTCATTCACCTATCGCTTTCCTGATCAACGCAATGGAGTACATTATTTTGCGTTTTGCTATCCATATTCTTACTCTGAGTGCCAAGCAAAGCTGGATGAGTTGGACAGGAGCTTCCTAATATGTCAGCAAATGACACCCTCTTCACCAAAAGACGCTATTTATTTTCATCGAGAACTGCTCTGTTATTCATTGGACAGCCTTAGAGTAGATCTTTTGACAATAACTTCTGTTAAAGGCATGCTGGATAGCAGGGAGCAATGGTTACCCCATCTCTTTCCTGATAAAACTGTTCCAAGAGCACAAAGGTTTGAAGGAAAAAAGGCAAGTAATGTGGCAATTGATTAATTAATTATAATTATTATTATATTTTAGTACTTTCTTTTTAGTGCTCTTATGTTTTGGTCAGTAGTTCAGTGCGACTGAATTTCACATTATTGATATTGTTGATTGATATAGGTACATCCCTGTTCTTTCTACAGAGTTGTTGTTAGCAGTATTGATACAATACACAAACAAGTAAAAATTAGCAATAAAAGCGAACAGCATTTCGAAGTCATCATGACACAATTTTCAGTTTATTTCTTATCTTTTTGAACTTGAAAATGGTGTCATGACAACTCCGAAACATCATTCGCTTTTATCGCCTATTTTTACTTGCCTGTGTATAACTAACAAAACCTTTGCTTATAAGGATTAATACAATAATGTTGTAATTTAAAAATCTACAGAAGAGAGCTAACATAGGGTGTTTGGTAATGTGTTAAGTTCAAGAGAGTCTTTGGTGATGTAAACTAAACTAAAATGTTTTCAAGTCTAACTGGTTAACAACGTGTTACCGTTGCAGGTGTTTTTCTTGAGTGCTAGAGTGCATCCCGGTGAAACACCATCAAGTTTTGTGTTCAATGGATTTCTGGACTTTATTTTACGAAAAGAAGATCCTAGGGCTGCTGCATTACGGAACCAATATGTTTTCAAAATGATACCAATGTTAAATCCAGATGGTGTCAAACGTGGTCATTACCGCACTGATCCTCGAGGTGTGAACTTGAACCGTGTGTACACTGATCCAGATCCTCTTCTTCATCCTTCAATATTTGCCGCCAAAAGTATCATCGCTTATCATCACACTAAAGGAGACTTCAATCAAAATTCAGATCTCAACAAGTTGTGTGAATGCGATACTGAGAAGTCAGTTGAGACTTTTAATAGCCTGGACAGCTCAGTCATTGACACCGCTATGGAATCTGTGGTCAAGAGTGGCATTTTGGATGTTGCGTCAATTCCTCCAGAGTTAAAACCAGGTTCACCTGATTCCGAGTCTGTCAAAATGGAATTACAAAGTTTGGCAAACAGTGCAGTATTAGACAAGGATGATAATAATAACAAGAATGAAGCACTGTCGGCAAACTTGAACACCTTGACGCTGGAAGATGTCCCTTTACCTGACAAAGTTCAGGCTGACTTATTAAGCGCTGATACTCAGAAGGACACTTCAGTTGTCAACCAACTTTCAAATGACAGTACTAGTAGTATGTCAAGTGACTGTCATTCGGAGAAACAGGCAAATATTGGCCCCCTTAAAGAAGCTCAGTTTAAAAAGGTGCTAAGTAATAAAAGAGAATCTCCAAAGTGCAACAACTGTTTGTCAAAGACTTCATCAGAAGGCAATAGTGGTGTCGCATACTATGTTGATCTACACGGTCATGCCTCGAAGCGTGGATGCTTTGTTTATGCAAACTATCTGGAGAATGAAGATAACTATGTCAATTCCATTTTGTTTCCAAAACTTATTTCCATGAATTCAGCTAACTTTGACTTTGCTGCTTGCAATTTCACTGAAAAGAACATGTACAGCAAGGATAAACGAGACGGCATGTCTAAAGAAGGTAGCGGAAGAGTTGCTATTTATAAAGCCACAGGAATTGTTCATAGGTAGGCAAGAAACTTATAAAGATTATTGACAAGGAGATTATTGTTGATCATTTGAGAGTGGATTGTAATTAAATCTTATTTTTTATTCCCAGCTACACCCTGGAGTGTAACTACAACTGTGGACGAACGGTGAACAGTCTTGCGCCTGCCACTTGTGATGGTGGATGTGCCACACCTCCTCCTGGACCAGGGTTCCCGCCTAAGTATACACCGGAAATTTTTGAAGAGGTAATTTATACCACAAAATGCATCCATTTATCATTGATAACACCACTACATTGGTTACTTGACGAACAACAGGTGACAAATGTACAGGGCTCGACTTTCAGGAAAAAACCTTGTCTCCAGCTGGCTGCTAAGTTTTCAGATTTATTCGCCAGCAAAAGTATTTCACAAGTGAAAAGTGTGGAAAGTTAGTCACCAGTGAAAACAATTCAGTGGTGTTGGTGACCCCAGTGGTCGCAACGTCAAGCTCTGATGTACATACTGTATACAGGCATGTATAAATTTTAACTGGTGTTTGCTTCATTTGTTTTAAGGTTGGACGAGCAATGGCAGTTGCTGTGCTTGACATGAACAATTCCAACCCATGGTCACGTCTTCCTCTCAGTGAGTTCACATCTTTGGAAGGGGTGAAGAACTGGGTCAGAAGATTTGTCAAGAGTTCCAAGAATGCACCCTCAGTCCCCAAGAAACTCTCTCGGGTTATTACTAAAACTTCAAGGTACATTATGTCTTCTTTACTTTCTACATGTATATTCCTTTCCCAGAGGCATGATCTTTAAACTTGGCCTGCTAAGGTGGTGGGATTTTGCACTTAAGTGCTTTATAGTTTTGGCAGCAGAGAATTTATCAAGAGCAGGAGAATTTTGTCTACAAATGTTATTTCAGTGGCAGAGAATTAATTGAGAGCAGAGAAGTAGCAAGGAAAATGGGGAAACTCAAGTTGAGATCAACACGTTTTTATGTGCAATAACAGGAAAGTGATCTACATGTTACACAGTTTAATAAAGTTTTTATATTATATTAATTAACAATGTTTAACATTTTATAGCATGGTGGCAGGTGCAACAGCAAGTACTCGTCAGAAATTATCGATATTGACAAGTTCATCAAGTGACACATCTGATAACAATGCTGCTGGAGGACTCAGAACAGCAGACCGTCCCTCTCAGAATGGTGCAAATGCTATCAAGGAAGCTGGTAATTTACATTGAGTGCAAGTGTTTTTTAAAAATATGAGCAAAATGTACTTAGTGTATAATTTAACACACAACACCAAAAATGTAAATGTCTGGCAGTTAAGGGACCCTAAAGAGTTCATGTTTCTGTTGATTAGTGGTTATTAAGAAACCAAAAAAAAAATGAGAGCTGATTACTTTAATTTTAACTTTTAGGTAAAAAGACAACTGGAGATGTAAGCCTGGCACGGCGTCCATTTAACTTGACAAGTACAAGAAAGTCATTGCAGCAAACACCAGGGACCTCAGCTGGGAAAAACCAAGATACAAGCTCCTCTTCACCTGGGACACTGCCAGGAGGGACCAATAGAGATCCTTTACCTGGGACAGGTCCACCAAGGCTACCGGTAAAGCAGCTAGTTTTCATAATAATTTATTGTAATTCGAACTTTGATTTTTATGAGGGAGATTTAATTTTGTATTTTTCTACTAGGTGTATAAACCAAAAGAACAACCAAGAGTGTCTCTAGAGCTTCCTAAAACAGTAAGTGGTTGTCAACAAAATATTTTCTAAACAATGTGAATCAAAATTCACATACTTTGTTTCTAGTGAGTTGCTGCTCAGAAGAAACACCCTTTAAACCAGGTTATTCGGTTATGGTAGTCTCAGTGGTAAATGATTGTGGGCAAAAAGGATGTCTTTTGAAAATTTAGTATCAATAATGTGGATCATCTGTACATAGGTGGTTCTAGGTAACTCATGAAGATGCATAATTTATTTTTCTTACCATGGTAGGGTCCAACATTGAGACTGGTACATAACTTCCGTCATCAACAGCAAGTCCATGTGCCTCACATGTCACCTTCAAGTAAATCTTTATCATCTCCTGTTGAGATCAAAATGAGGTATTAACTGACTGTCTGTTAATAGGATCCATGCACTTACATGTTAAGCTCAATTATTATAATTACTATGCACTAATAAGTTCAATCATTTCTATGATTATGGGGCAGCTAGTTTTTGTTTTGTTATTGTTTATAGTGATATTTTGTTTTGGTAAGTGTGCACTTGTAAAATTTTGATGTACTACCAATAAAGTGATAGCTAACTGAAGGTGGTATAACTAAAGGTTCATGAGAGATGGCCATCAAATATGGAACAAATTTAAAATGTTTATTAATTAAAAACAAATTACAGAAATGAACAGGGTTGTTTGTAGAGTAGTATGATAGCTGATCCTTTGTTTCACTGTCATGTCGTCAGCACTATTGATGTCCAAAAGCAATTCACTGGTTTTAACAGAGGAAAACCAAGTCCAGTGAAAAATGGTCATAACAGCCACAGTGATGAAGAAAAGAAAAAGAAAAATCTACAGCAGAAGAGGAAAAATGGAAGAAAGAAAGGTAACTAATTACATAGTTCCAGTTATTTTGTAACCCGAACTAGACGTCGTGGGCCTGTTCAGTTCATCCATACACAGAAGTTGCTGACAGAGAATGAAACATTTGCAGTTATAATAATTTACTAACCAAAGACTGATTAGAATCAGTTTTTAGGTATGAGAAACGTTGAAAACTCTTGCTTCTGTTTTGTTTATGCAAATAAGTGTTTTGATGTTTTTTTGTACTTTCCAGAGAAAATTGGGGAAGCAGCAGTCAATGACCAGATGCAACCACAACAAATCTCTTTGCCAAGGTACATGGACAGAGAAGCCAAGCTCCAATTGTCAATTTATTTAGAACATTCAATGCAGTCCTTAAATTACTTACAGCACATGCTGCTGTAGATCAGCATAATGACACGATCATGCCATGAATACGCATGTAGAGTTAGGTGTAGCCATGTTGAAAGTGATGTAAACTCTTAAAATCATGCAAAATAGAGCTTAGGACTCATCATAATAAACCTGTATGCTATGTACCATTAAGTTAGGTGAGACTTTGTCATCAAAATGTACAGTACTGTAAATAACATGACTGTTCATCAAGTATTGAGTTTTAACTTACATAAATGCTAACTCTTAAAGAAGGGATTCATTTACGTGATGTTTAGTGTAAATAATGTGTTTCTGCTGTAGTAAATGGTCCTTAAACTCAGTTAGATTGCATATTTCAATATTATTTTGTGGTGCTCAAGTAGAACTTTCTGTGTGAATGGCATTTGCAGGTACAATGTACAGTAACCTCCCGGGGGGGGGGGGGCACTGCCA